TTCCCCGAAATAAAACATAAGAATCTGGAGTTTTAATATTAAAAAACAAAGATCAACTGTTATGACAAATAATACGCTTAGCGTAGGACTGAGAGGGTCAGAGCTATATCAGAATGTGACCCCCCCCCCCCCCCCCCCCCCCCCCCCCGGTCTTGTTAGAGGTATCAAAAAATTTGAATTTTCTTTTCCACGAAATAAAACAAAAGAATCTGGACTTAATCAAAAGCGATGCGATTACGATTTCCATAGAATGTCAGAGACAGTTTGTCGACTAGTTCGTTTAAAATATCGACTAGGCAAGTAAAGTTTGTCTTGTAACAAAGCAGGGTTTATTCATATTCATATCACACTTATATATTCTCGTCCTTATATGCATGTAATATTTGCCACTGTACACTAAATACAAATACATTTTGATCAATTCTTTTTAATGAAAAGGAGCCTATTTTAAGCACGTTCGTCGATTTGACACCCTGTAATTCATGTTTTTTGGGAGTTCCTCGAAAATTATAACACATTCCTTCTTTATTTGCAAAATCGCCATGTGACGGGTGCCACATATGAAACAGGATCTGCTTACCCTTCTGGAGCACCTGAGATGGTCCTTTTTTTAGGGTTTCGTGTTGCTCAGTTCTTGGTTTTCTATATATGTTGCGCTTAATATACTGTTGTTTGGCTTTTGATCTTTTTTTCTATCGTTTATTTCGGCTGAGTTTTTGTCATGACATTGTCAGTTTGGTTAAGAGTTTTACTATCCCTTTTGTATCTTTCGCCTTCTTTTATCCATTTTTGTGTATTTTTTTTCGATTCTCCCCTCCCCCTGAACAGTATAATAGATAGATAAATGAAAACAGAAAACCCTTTTCAACAAAAGGAGATCTACAAGTAACTCGACGTGATCGAAATTGCAAATTTCTTCCTCATTAGATATATTGCCCTTAGGGTAGATCGGGTTTCTTCCGCCATCTTAGGGAGCTACCATTTGATTTTTATTGGGGGGGGGGGGGGGGGGGCTAGGATGAAATTTGAAAAAAAGGCAGGACAGGAGTTTTGGGTAAAAAAAAAGGCAGGATGAGAAACTTGGCAAAAAAAAAGGCAGGATGACAATTTGTGTAAAAAAAAAGTCAGAATAAACTAATAAAAAAAAATGCAGGACCGAATAGAGTGAAAAATAAAAAGGCAGGACAGAGATTACAACTAAAAAAAAGGCAGGACAGAGATTACAACTAAAAAAAGGCAGGACAAAATTTGTCATCCTATCCCACCCACCCACCCCCCATAAAAATCACATGGTAGCTCCCTCAGATTCTCATATAGCTCAACACAATCGGTCTAGATCTAAAAAAATATACACATTTTGAGAGAGGAATGTCATTCATATGTAGTACTTTTCATCTTGAAAAATTAAAAAATTATGAGATTTATCTGATTAAAACGACTATTTGTTTTTGAATACAGAACGTTTTTTGCATATGTTTTATAACTTTTCCATATAGGGGAGATAACTCGGATAACATTATTTTTTGTCGTTTTTTATTTTTTTTATTTTTTGCCATGGTATTGTCAGTCTGTTTTCGACTTATGAGTTTGAAATCCCTTTGGCATATTTCGTCTCTAATGATGGAATGTGTAGGGACTTTATCTATTTTGTTTTGTAGACAGAAAACGAGTCTCGTGATCCCAATTTATATATTTTTATTTTTATTTTCTAACATTGAGTTTTCCATGTATAGTTTATACAAAATCTGACAATACTGCATAACCTGTAGCTTGCAAAATGCTCTGTGGCCCATACTTTTTTATTATGTTTTTCAAAAAAGAATAAACTTCATTTTGGCAAATAATTTTAAAAAATCTACCGATTTTAATTTAGGACCACACTCATAAAAAACTATAAGAGAGAGAGAGAGAGAGAGAGAGAGAAACTGTTGACATCAAAAAAACATATCTACAAATTAATCAAAGCAATATCAAAATAATTCATGGACTTTAACAATTTTTACAGATTTTTTATATTATTTTTATTTTTCTTTGAAAACAAATATAGATAGAGAGAAGCTGCAAAGAACCAAGAAAATCACTATGGACAAGAAAATAAGTGACGGAAATTATTAATTGGCTTCTCATTATAAGTTAAAGGGGTCATTGTCCATTAATGACTTTACAAATTTAAAAAAATAAAATATTCTCCGAGTGGATATATACATAAACCTGGGCACTATCTTACTTGGTGCTGGAAAAATGGTTGGCACTGCTGTAAATTTTATATATTTTTTTTAAAGTTGCAATTAGAGTGGAGGCTCTAGGTCAAATTTCATTCGGTTTCATAGACTTCGTGTATGAGCGAAAAGTATACAACAGAATCTACCATACTTTATGTTTGGGTTGGCCCCATGCAGTAAGATTCTTCCGCCTATCAATTCTTTTTGTTTTATTTCGTGGAAAAGAAAATTCAAATTTTCAGATACCTCTAACAAGGCCGGGGGGGGGGGGGGGGGTGGGGGGGGGGTCACATTCTCATATAGCTCTGACCCTGTCCTCAGTGACGCTTTAGCGTATTATTTGTCATATCAGTTGATCTTTGTTTTTTAAGATTAAGACTCCAGATTCTTTAGTTTTATTTCGGGGAAAACGGGAGTGGTAAATACAAATTCTCCGCTAACTCTTACATAGATGTGATTTTATATGAGTAAAATTTGACCCTCACATTCATATCTTATAAGCACAATATTATGTTGTATATATTAACACACAACAAAGATAAACATTTTCTTAAATATTGTTCATAAAAATAAAAAATGGTTTTTAATCATAAAAATAAATCCAAACAAAACATGTAAAATATACGGCAAAACTGTATTCAAGTGTAATATATAGCGATGGGTAATTCTTTTGCTTTATGAATTTATGGAAAACTTTCTTTGTATATCATTTTGCCTCCGAACTTGCAAATGAAGAAGAAAAAATCCTGGGGATTTGCCCCTCATTCTTTTCCATAGAATTGCTATTTCAATTTACATAATTCTGTAATGTTTTACGCATCGTTATTGTCTTTCAATTTAACATAAAACGATCTAATATTTGTACTATATTCGAAGTCAACACCAAAAATCTTTCAATTCTGCACAAGTATATGTCATCCTATCATTGTTTTATTTTGACTTTACGTTCTGTTTTTATAACTTAACATTTTACTGTTTCAAGTCAAGACTAAACTACTTCAAATTTACATCGTGTAGTTTCAAGTCAACACATTGTATGATAAGCCTCTCGTGACGTCATAATGATATAACATCGTGCTATCTTAGCTCAACAACACGTACTTTCAACTGTACGTCATGTAGTTTTGAATGAGCATATTGTATGGCAAGCCTATCGTGATATTATTATGATATACCATCGTTCTATCATAGCTCAACATCACATACTTTCAACTGTACGTTGTGTAGTTTTAAATGAGCATATTGTATGGTAAGCCTATCGTGACATTCAAATGATATAACAACATGCTATCTTAGCTTAGAATCACCTAGTTTCAACTGAAAATCATGTAGTTTTAAATGAGCATATCGTGTGGTAAGCCTATCGTGACATTCTAATTATATAACAACGTGCTATCTTAGCTTAACATCACATACTTTCAGCTGTACGTGGTGTAATTTTAAATGAGCAAATTGTATAATAAGCCTATCGTGACATTATGATGATATAACATCGTGCTGTCTTAGCTGAACAACACGTACTTTCGACTGTACGTCGTGTAGTTTTAAATGAGCATATTGTATGGCAAGCCTATCGTGATATTATTATGATACAAGATATTGCTATCACAGCTCAACATCAAGTACTTTCAACTGTACGTCGTGTAGTTTTAAACGAGCATATCGTGTGGTTAGCCTATCATGACATTCTAATGATATAACAACATGCTATCTTAGCTTAACATCACTTAGTTTCAGCTGAAAATCATGTAGTTTTAAATGAGCATATCGTGTGGTAAGCCTATCGTGAAATTCTTATGATATAACAACGTTCTATCTTAGCTTAACATCACGTACTTTCAGCTGTACGAGGTGTAATTTTAAATGAGCAAATTGTATAATAAGCCTATTGTGACATTATAATGATATAACATCGTGCTATCGTAGCTTAACATTACAAAATTTCAACTGTACGTCGTGTAGTTTCAAGTGAGCATCTTAGCTTAACACGTTGTATCGTGTTGTTTTAGGTCAACAAATTGTATGGTAAGCCTTTCGTTTCAATATAGTGGTGTAGCATCATGTTATCTTAACTTAACATCATGTACTTTCAACTGTGCATCATGGTGTTTTAAATCAACAGATTGCATGATAGACCTATCGTAATATCACAATGATATAACATCGTACTATCTCAGCTCAACATTTATTAATAACAAGTCAGCACCATACATTTTAGCTATTCATTTTATTTGTTATCATAGCTATCGAAGTGGACGACTGAGCAGTATCCATCTGCAAGCTAACATCATGCAACGTCAACTTCACATCATGTACTTTAAACCCAACGTTACGTGTGTTTGGCATATCATCACAACATCGTGACTTATCATTATACTATCACGACTAAAGCACTTGTCATTGCAAGTCAACATTGCGCAAATTCAACTTAGCATATTGTAATTTAGAGTTAGCATTTTGATGACTCAACTCAACATCACGCTGTCTTAACTTTACATTTTAAGCTTCAGCATAACGTTTTGTAAATCTCTAATATATGACAGCTGAGGCTTTCCATATACATGCATCTCCTTCAAATATTATCTTGTCATGTATATTTGATAATATATTATAAGGGTAAACAATATTGAAATAAATGTGTATATAATACAATGATAAACATGATAAGCGAAAGCTTTTGTTTACATGTTTTTAAATAAATATTTTCTTATCAGAAATGGTATTAAGGTAACCTTTCTCTTCTGAATGAGATGTGTCTATTTGAATTAATATATTTACCTGTGTTTCTGAATATACAATTTGGCAATGCATAAATAAGAAAGATGTCACTAAAAGTAAATTAAGAATCCCTGTCCCGTCCATGTTTGTTCACTCTTGTTTTACAAATTTATAAACACACATAGGATGCACGAATGTATCAACAACATCTATTAAAACTGTCGCCTACGTACACAAATTCCAAAACTAATAACACTTGTTTTCGGTTAAAATCTCTCAAGGACGTCGGTTTATAAATAGATCTCTTATGAATTATGCACCTGCAGATTTTCTTACTTGGTAGTGTATCGGATATTTATATCGCACTTAAATAGTTGATATCAATTTATATTTCGAACAAAGAGACATGATTTATTTTACATTGTCCTTGTTAAATACAACAGATGAACTCATTATTGTTGGCCAAAGCCGATTATGCTGCAATTTCGGATGCATAATAAAGGCAACAGTAGTATACCGCTGTTCGAAATTCATAAATCGATTGAGAAAAAAACAAATCCGGGTTACAAACTAAAACTGAGGGAAACACATCAAATATAAGAGGAGAACTACGACACAACAGAAACACAACATTAAAATGTAACACACACAGAAACGAACTATAATATAACAATGGCCATTTTCCTGAATTGGTACAGGACATTTTAAGAAAAAACATGGTGGGTTGAACCTGGTTTTGTGCTAGCCAAACCTCCCGCTTTTATGGCAATGTTAAATATAACATTAAAATGACAACATTACATGACAGGACTACAATACAAATAAATGGGAGAACATATAGGACAGAGAAACATACGAATAATAGCATAACCTGACAAAGCATATTATTATAGCCCATGCAGGACGGATTGGTATTGCCCTTTTCATACCATATTAAATTTATAGATCACTTTGGCAATGTGAGCTATTGCCATCTCCAAACGTTCGTCGTCGTCGACATACACGTTTGAAAAAAAATCTTATCCTCTGAAAATTTGGGTTAAATAATATCAATATATTAAACTATTACGTGCATTTCACTCTTCTATTCATTTGTTTGCAAAATCAAAAACTCTTACTTTAAATTAGGTACCATAATATTGAAAACAGTAAAAGAAAAACAAATTTTACAGAATCAAAACTGCTTAGATTGTTAGATTTTATCTATTTATTCCACCCAAATTATCAGTTGTATATGTTGAAGAGTTCACCTAAGTACATGCACAAATAAGGGTATAACCAGAATATTTACAATTCTAATTTTTAATTGGAGTATAGTGTGACGTCTATTATCACTGAACTAGTATACATATTTGTTTAGGGGCAAGCTGAAGGGCGCCTCCGGGTGCGGGAGTTTCTCGCGGCATTGAAGACCCATTGGTGGCCTTCGGCTGTTGTCTGCTCTATGGTCGGGTTGTTGTCTCTTTGACACATTCCCCATTTCCATTCTCAATTTTATTACAACACTGTTTTAGAATCGGGATGATTAACAGCTTACCAAATTGTATAAAGATCACATTTTTTCAGAACAAGTAAATTGCCCTACTTTCAAAACCTGAATATCATATCACAAAAGAAAAACTCTTGACATCGTTATGCTCAAACGGATTCGGACCAAATTTAAGACAGAAATGCAGTACAAAAACTTCCACAGCTAAAAATTCTAATCAAAATAAAAAATCTAAATCATTTACAATGTACTCCAAGCGGTAGGACCAATCTACCCTGATAATATTTTTCTCACAAAGTCAAATTGAATTGGTTGAAAACCTACTGAATTTGAATAATAAGGGCTTAAAGAAAACACATTAAAGAGTTTATAACAATTTAACAAGTAATCCTTAAAGCAAAAAAGTTGTCCAGTGCTACACCTTGCTGTTGTTGACGGAAGTTGTGATGAATGCAATTATAGTTAAGATATCGCAAAAACAAATTAACATGAAGGGACAGTTACTGTACCCTTAACCAACACGAATTAACTTGTATCTGAAAAATACAAAACATAGCTTTACTTCCAACAAAATTTAGGTTTTTGTTAAAAAAATGACTGTCCTTCATACACCTTACTTAAAACTTGCTAAAATCTGTTAACATTAGGGTTTTCAGCTATAGATTTTAATTCAAAATTACTTTTAAAAAAATTACGTTTCCAAACATATTTCTTGTTTTTGTACGTAAATTACGGTAATTGAAAAAATCGGGTTTTTTTTTAAACTAAGTCTAGCGAAAAACAAAGATTGTCCCGACAAATAAAAAGACATGAACCACATCAGATCAATGATCGGTGCTTTACTAAATATTTACCCAAAACATAAGTACCAAAAAGAAAGTTTTGAGCCATTTTATAAAATGTCCATTGCCTATTAAGATACAGTAATTGGAAGTTCTTATAAATAGACCAATATAATTATTAACTCATGCAGTTACATGTAATATGCGTAACTTACAGTACGCGTCTAATTCAGCGTACACGGTTAAATGTCATTTACCTATTTATAAATGTAAGACGCAAGCAATTATTACACTAGTTGGATTTCCCTTGAAACAGTAAATAAGATGGAATTCCCACAACTGCATTGTAGACAAGTACTACTTCAAACAAAACTTATACTGAATGTCAAGAAGTATCTTTTCTGTATACGTTACGCACTAACTTTAAAGTTTACTTACAAATTCTGTTCTGAGAGCTAGAACATTGAAAAAAAATATAGAATTGATGTCACAAGTGACATAACACACGGCTTCAACCACATTTGCTTTATTGGATAAAGAGGGTGTTCCAGTTTGATTTAACTGAAATGATGGTACCGCTGGAATCTCCGACACACACGTCACATGAATTTTTTTTAAAAGTAGTCTGTTGTTCGTCCGGTATTTGGAAACAGTGTATTTGTAAAGTACTTCGCACGCATATTGAATATTTACGAAGTGAACCAACCTGATTTCAAAGGAACGATGTGTTTAACATGTTTAGTTATTCGAAGTCGTTATTTACGATCGTACGATTTCGCCTCCGGTCGACAAGATCAGACGGTTCACAGCTTACGCGGTATACTCTTCGTCCTAGCATATGTGTGATAAAATATATATAAAGATATTTCATACTAGAATAAAGAGGAAAATTTAATGTTTACTAAACACACTAGATGTCATTTCTTTACCCTACTTATTATGACAACAAAGATATATAGACAAACACAGAGGTCTGACAATATTGATATGGAAATCGAAGTTTAATTCTGTTCGAAAAATAATACTATATATAAACTGAAATACAAATCACTGAATTTCGCATCTGTTATGTCTAATGTGCTAAAAATTAAAAAAAAAAGAAGAAAATTATCAAACGAACAAAACAACACGCACAATGAAAGCAAGATCAAAACTTAAAATTCAACATCATAAGAGAAACATCCCTTTTTGAAGTTGTGTATCATGAAAAAATTTTGTCTTCAAAATAGACAAATATAACTTATAGAACAATATTTTCGAATAGGTGTGCAATGAATAGTAAACTTTAAAGAGACATAACACTTTACTATATCTGTTATGATAATTAATGTATTTAAGATTAATTATGGAAAAACATCATAACGTTGTACCAAAGAAGAAAGACTCGGATGTGATCACTGAAGAAACAGACTCACTACTTAAATAATTACCATAGGAAAAAGCAATTTGTACACTTTAAAGATGATAATCCGGTTATAACATGAATGACACGGAAGGCTAGTGTGATCTAAAATTAAGAAGTTGAAGAGTTAGGTGCTTATCACCAGATGACCAATTTTATAAAGGGCAGAATCAACTTGCGCCAATTACACATGTTACAGTTTTGAAAAGATATCAATTGCGCCACTCTCTATTTTTCTGATGGTATGAATTGCGCCAATAAATGGAATCATATTGCGCCACATTTACCTATTATATTTTTACCTACATCATACATGTAATATGTACTATAATTAACCTATCCCCTTTAGATTAAACTGAACACTCATCAAAGTTAAAAAAAACTCACCAATAAATAAATTGTTCAGTAATAGAATAATTTTTCACATGTATCAGTTAGTCTATGTAATAGTTATACACCGAGGGATAGGTGTGTCTGGAAAAGAAACCCCGACGGCCGGAGGCCGAAGGGGTAACTTATCCAGACACACCGTATCCCGAGGTGTATAACTAACTTACACCCCATGCTAAACCCTATATTTCTTAACCTTGATTACTAAATGAAAAAGAATGGATAGCTTATTCATTTATAATATCAAACCATGATTTATAAGATTTTTTTACATGAAACCCCACTAGTAACCTTACTTTGGCTATCTTCGTTCAAACTTTGACAAGTGAGTAGATTTTACAAATGTCAAAGATGCTGTTTTGCATATTCCCGTTAAATCCTTGTGCTAAAAAGGATCAGCAGGTCAAGGTTGACCATTTCGTCCATTTCCGTTACAAAAAAAATACATCATGCTCCTTGTATGCAGTTGTCAATATGGACGGGTGTAAGACGGACCACATTTTGAGTCAAGCGTTGGATTTGGTAGAAGAGACTAAAGATAAAGGCAATATAATAACTCAAAGTACTTACCTGTATCAGTTTAATGAAGGTAATCATAAATGTATTTTTTATGTTACGGTTTTTTAATCTCCCCTCTATTATCAAGTATAAACAAACATTCATATTCGGACATACTGAGGATAGGTGTGTCTGGGTTAGAAATCCGAGGACCGGACACGCTCAACATACACAAATACAGATTGAATTTATAGGAACTCCCTTGTTTGTGGGGCAATCCAGGGGTGGAGGTCCGGGAGTTAGAAGCTCCGTTTTTTTAAAGATTAATACTTAAGAATAGAGACATATGACCGGGATCAGTGGCGGATCTAGGGGGAGGGGGGGGGGGGGGGGGGGGGTCCGGGGGTTGGAACCCCCATATTTTGTGACGATCAATGCATTTGAATGGGGAAACATGGTTGGAACCCCCCCCCCCCCCTTTTTAAAAGTGGCTGAATCCGCCCCTGGGGATCAAAAGTTTAACCTTCAAGCAAAGGAGTATTTAAAGGATTTTTTTTATTCAAAATAGATGCTTAATACTTTTTTCGCTATTTGAATTTCAAATAGCGAAACTATTTAAAAAAAAACACATTATAGGAAATTTAAATTGAATTTCCTAAAAATATTTTTTCCGTTATATCTTGAAACAACTTGTAGTGAACACTATAAGAAATTTCTTTTGTTCATGCTATTTAAAAAAATAATCAATTTCTATTGTTATGAATAACAATGGACTGTGTTTTCGGGATGTAGAAGCAGGGGTTTCCAGAAACCCCGCTCGCCACACCCTGTGGTCAAAATCCATTGTTCTTCGTTACAATAGATCTATTCAATTTACACTTGTTTCAGAAATAGAAACTATGAAGT